TGCAGCATCTGTGTGTGCTCATAACTTCCAATGCACCAGCTGTAGCGAGATACTGAGTTTGGAGACATGGGCCAGGGAGCCTGTGTTCGATTCTCGCTCTAAGGGAAGGAAAAAAAAAAAAAAAAGGCGGGGGGTGGGGAGTGCTTCTAGAACACTGGTCTCAAACCTTGGCAAACTTGGGACTCAGCAGTAGTCTTGATCCTTGGCGTTTTTTTGTTTTTGTTTTTGCTTTTTTTGTTTTTTTTCCCTTTGTCATTGCTTCAAGTGTAGCGTCGAGTTCCAAACAGAGCGAGCGTCTCTCAAAGTTGCTTTGCTGGGGAAAGAGAGCGCGAGCCCGCGTTGGATTTGAGCCCGAAGACAGCAAAACTTTCACATCATATGTCACTCTGTCCTAAGCAACGTATTATTCTTAGTAGTAATAGTATTAATACCTAAGTTGAAGACAGGGTGATTTCAGGAAAGCACAGTGGTCAAAATGACTCGATTCTGCAAAAGGATTGCATCATAACATAGACTTGTCATGACAATTGAAAAAAAAAAATCGAGATAGGAAAAGGGCAGTTTAATGTCTGTGTCTGGATAAGCCTAGCAGTAGGATGGTAACTAGGATACCGCTGTGAATCCTGGGGATTTTCATAAGCTCAGAATTTACCTGTTAGGAAACAAGGCATTGAAAACGTGTTTTAGGTATGAAAGAATGCATATTGGCTTTTACCACTTACTTTCTTTTCACGTTAATAATCAAAAGGCTGTCAGATTTCCTCTCACTAACCACTGCCCTGTGTCTGCTATATATTACCTGTACACTTATTAGCTTTTTCTCAGCTCCCCTCCTCCCCCACCCCTGAGTGATTTATTTATATTTGCCAATATCTGAAAAGTCTCCAGGCTCAGGAGTAAGAGCTATTACTTCCAGGATGGTGAGAGGGGTCAACGTTGGGGTCAAGGTCATTTAACTTTGCTTTAACCCCTCCCCCTCAGGTTTTGGTGGCACTTTCTTTAATGTTATTGGCATCCATAGGAATATTTGCTCTAAACGCTTGTGAATTTGGCTTTTTTTTTTTTTTTTAAAAAGACACACAGTATTTCTGCTACCTTTAGATGCTCCAGCTGTAGAATCTCTGGTTAGCTGTAGAGTCCTTGAATAACTTTTCTGTAGCATGAAAGATGGGCCACATTTTTACCTGAACTGACAGACTGTTGCAGGTTTTATCTCACCAAAATGTGTATATTTCTCAGCATTTGCAAATGCTGAATGATGCTACGTGCATTGCCGAGTATAAACGGTAGAGTGCTCACATAGATAAATGCATATCCCTCTGCCCTTCCCCTCCTTCCCCTCCCCCTCCCTTCTGTTTACTGAGCTTCCAAGAGGCTGCTTTGCCAGCAGTTGTGCTCACATAGCAACATGTGCCCTGAGCACACTCAGGCTGGTCTATATGGCGTCAGCTGGGGAATAACTGCTCTAAACACTCATTAGCAGACCTTTCTTTCAGCCCAGCACACTTTCTTTACCTATCCTTATTTCGTGTCCTTAGTTAGAAACTTTCTTATCCACTGTTCACCGGGACCTTATTATGGGACACATTTATTCTTCATAATTATATTTTTCCTGTTTTTTGTAACCCATCTTGGAAGTATTTCCCATATGGTAAAAACGATTCAGATTCACTCATTGATACAGTGTTATCTCCTTGACCTTGAATTTATCTGTAGTGCTCTCTCTCTTTAACATCTACCTAAGATTGAAATGGCTGAACTATTTTTTTCCATTGCTTATGCTTAATTTTGGCTCAGCCTATAAATAGTCTTAACATGAACACCACCACATGTAGCCTCTCAATTTCCCAGAAATACTTTCTACCTCATTGGTTATAGCCTGGGTAAAATGATTATTTGTATCTATTAAATTTACATCAGGGCCTGAAATATTTTGGCTCAGAGGGGAATTTACACATCAAATCAACTATGGATTTTCCTGAATTGTACCCCTCAAGGAGTCACATCACTTAGTGATCTCCTCTACTCTTGATTGAATGTTTCTCACACAATAATTTTGAATGTATGTCTACAATAAAGTTGCATGAAAGCCCTGTTCCTAATGAAAGTTTTTTTTCCTAGACACTCATGAATCGGTGATTTTCAGTGAGAGAAAAGCAGGCAAGGAAGTTTTCTGCTTGCGTAAAGTCAGTTGGGCATGTGAGTAGGTCAGTAAAAAGGACATTCATCATAATGAAATATTAAGACAATCACCCTAGCAAACTGTGGCAGGTTTAGAGTTTTGCTCTGTGATCAGTTTCCCAAAACTCTGAATATACATAATGTGTGTAGACACATATACACACAGAAATCTGTTTTGGAGCATATCTATTCGAAGTGACAAAATCTTCCATTTTGCCAAAAAACAAAAAACAAAACAAAACAAAACAAACCATCTTTTTTCTCCTTTGCAGGCAGAAGGGTAAAATTTCTAAATGATGCTCTGCATGTGGAACAAATTCTGTCATTAACAGTGGAAATAAGACAATAATAGTCGCTCAATACAGGCTGTTTTCAAGTTCTAAATGCAGAAAGCTATCCGTAGGAAGCTGGTATTGTGTTTTGTGGAATTCGAACTAATGTCCTGGGGTCAGGATTTTTGGAAGATCGTAATTCAGTCTTTAGATTTCATATGGTTGTTATGCTTTAATCTGGAAAGAGTGAAGAAATAAGTCAGAAGAAATTTGAAACTGTCTACTCGTGGTCCCTAATGGTAACTCAGATGGAAGGCTTGTTTTGAATCATGAAAAGGGAATTTCTTGGTGTCAACTTATAATATAAGATTCTGAAGTCATTCAGAGCTCAAGGATACAAGCACTATTTAAGTGAGCTTTCTCCCCATCCCCCTTTTTTGGAAAGTACACCTGTATCTGCTGTTATATTATTATCCCTATCTGGTTTTGTGTAGAAAACCTTGGCAATTTCACATGAGCCCAATAATCTGAAATCACTGTTAAAACAATTCTTTCCATGTCCAGGACCTAGAACCCTGAGGAACAGGAGGCTTGTTCCTTTTGTCCAAGTACAAACTTCATAGGGAAGCAGACAAAACATTGAAGCAGGTGGAAGACTGGGAAGGCACAGTAACTTCTTTTTATAAAGTAATTCAAAGGCACTTTCAAATCGGGCATCATTTAGGTGTCAAAAGCTGCCAAAATGTAACACACATTGCAATTTTCACAGATGACTAATCTCAGGAAAAATGTGTTGGGGCACATTCTTGCATAATAACTTGGATAAGGAGGGAGAAGCGAAAAGCCTGTAACGAGGCATTTTCAAAGACAATACACCTTGCCTCTCTTTAGGGGGGGTGTACCAAAACAAGATACATGAACAGCTTTATTTATTTATTTATTTTTTTTTGCAGTTGGCTTGGCTGAGATTGGTTCTGTTAACCACTTAATCCTAATGTGGTTTGGAGGGGGGGAAGAAAAAGTGGAGTCCTCATGATCAGGGCTGCAGCAAATCTCTGCTCCTTGCCATCTGGTTTTCATTGTCCCCCTTTATTGCAGGAGATCGATTGGGTTGTTTGACAAGCGGAGGATGGCTTTTGGTTTTTATATGCCCTATTAGTTTTGTTAATTTCTATGTGGCGAAGAAAACTTGTTAGACTTTATCTTACACTTCTGTTTGTTGGTCAAGGAAAAAAATAGTTTTCTTTGGAGTGAAGATGGGAAGTTAAATAGATAGTTTTTACCTAGGTTAGGATAAGGCAAGAGGAAAATATTGAAAAACTACTATTTGTTCACATTAGGTAAAGGTGAGTGCCTTCTCCATGGGAACATATAGCAAACAAGAGCGCTCGAAGTGAAAGTAAACTGACATTATGCTCTGCTCCTACAAAGTTGTCTCTGTTTGGGAAGACCCAGAATTGGACCCACATGAAATGACTTCCTGCCTTATCTCAATTCGCTAAAGACCTGGTCCTTTGGCACAAAGGTGCTTACTTCCTAGCCTGTCATTACACATGGCAGTCCCATCTCCAGAGAATTTCAGGACTCATTGCTAGGCAACAGACTCGCTCTTTATCCCCCAGAGCAAACCTACGCCTTCAAGTCAGAATCACTTGCACTAACAGAGATGTTATCGGGCATTTCTGCAAAGTGGCTGCTTGCAGCGTGTGAAGTGATGCAGCAAGCCCAAACAGTCTCCAGAAATTGGGACCGATTTCAGATCATCATAAGGGCTGTCGACTCAGTTTTATCATTTAAACAAAATAGCCTGTGCCTTCTGCTTTCCACCGTGTCATCAAGGGCTCCCATATTCTCCCACAATGCGCCTGCAACTCAAATTAATATTAATGTTCTGCATTTATATGAAATGTTCTCTAGACATTTTGAGTTCCCAAAACCTGGCGACAGACTTTGGACTTAGCAAGCCTTTCTCCTGCTTAGTAACTCGGGACCCTAGCATGTAGAGAAGGCAAGAGAGAGAATAAGAGAGGTTATCTGTAAAATAGAATCTCCTAGATTGCTGGAAAAAAAATAGGGAGAAAAGGACCTGAAATGTTGGTTGAAAGGCTGTTCCAAACAACTAACTCTTCTATGTTTATTGACTTTGTTTATATAATACAGATATTTTTTAGGGTACAAAGAAATGAAAACTCCTGTTATTCAATGCAGAGCGTATTTCTCTATCTCTGACTGTATCCTGCTAGGACATGTTGCCTTAGGGAGTAGAACCCTTCAATAATGACTTGTTTTCTAATGAATAATGTCTTTTGTCTGTCTGTTTGGTTTTTTTCAGGACATGTACCCTGGATGTCAGCTGAGTTACTAAGGTAGTGCTGCATGTCAGTAGACAGACCTTGGTAGAACCTCAAGGCTCCCGGAGACCCCCATCTCTCCTTGTTTTTTTGTGTGTGTGTCCTCACTGAACATTCAAAACTGTTTCTCCAAAGGGTTTTGCAAAAACTCAGACTGTTTTCCAAAGCAGAAGCACTGGAGTCCACAGCAGAAGCGATGGGCAGTGTGCGAACCAACCGCTACAGCATTGTCTCTTCAGAAGAAGACGGGATGAAGTTGGCCACCATGGCGGTTGCAAATGGCTTTGGGAATGGGAAGAGTAAAGTCCACACTCGACAACAGTGCAGGAGCCGCTTTGTGAAGAAAGACGGCCACTGTAATGTTCAGTTCATCAATGTGGGTGAGAAGGGACAACGGTACCTCGCAGATATCTTTACCACATGTGTGGACATTCGCTGGAGATGGATGCTGGTTATCTTCTGTCTGGCTTTCGTTCTCTCGTGGCTGTTTTTTGGCTGTGTGTTTTGGTTGATAGCTTTGCTCCATGGGGATCTGGATGCATCTAAAGAGAGCAAAGCTTGTGTGTCGGAGGTCAACAGCTTCACAGCTGCCTTCCTCTTCTCCATCGAGACCCAGACAACCATCGGCTATGGCTTCAGGTGTGTCACGGACGAATGCCCAATTGCTGTTTTTATGGTGGTGTTCCAGTCCATCGTGGGCTGCATCATTGATGCGTTTATCATTGGCGCAGTCATGGCAAAGATGGCAAAGCCGAAGAAGAGAAATGAGACTCTTGTCTTCAGTCACAATGCTGTGATCGCCATGAGAGATGGCAAACTGTGTTTGATGTGGCGGGTGGGCAATCTTCGGAAAAGCCATTTGGTGGAAGCTCACGTGAGAGCACAGCTGCTCAAATCCAGAATTACTTCCGAAGGGGAGTACATCCCCCTGGATCAAATAGATATCAACGTTGGGTTTGACAGTGGAATTGATCGCATATTTCTGGTGTCCCCCATCACTATAGTCCATGAAATAGATGAAGATAGTCCTTTATATGATTTGAGTAAACAGGACATTGACAATGCAGACTTTGAAATTGTTGTGATACTGGAAGGCATGGTGGAAGCCACGGCCATGACAACACAGTGTCGTAGCTCATATCTGGCCAATGAAATCCTTTGGGGCCACCGCTATGAGCCTGTACTCTTTGAAGAGAAGCACTATTACAAAGTGGACTACTCAAGGTTCCACAAGACTTATGAAGTGCCCAACACTCCCCTTTGTAGTGCCAGAGACTTAGCAGAAAAGAAATATATCCTCTCAAATGCTAATTCATTTTGCTATGAAAACGAAGTTGCCCTCACAAGCAAAGAGGAAGATGACAGTGAAAACGGAGTCCCAGAAAGCACTAGTACAGACACACCCCCTGACATAGACCTTCACAACCAGGCAAGTGTACCTCTAGAGCCCAGGCCCTTACGGCGAGAGTCGGAGATATGACTGCTTCCTTCTCTGGAATATTTACTTTAAACTACAGTCTGTTGGTCAAAGGCCCAAAACAGTTATTCAGACGACGGTACTGGTGAAGAGGTGGGTCAAGGCAAGTGGCCACAAGGGACTGAGGCTAGTACAATGGTTTCAGAGAAAGACTGTAAGCTCGGAGATGAACATAAAGCACTCAACATGCCTCCCCCTCCCCACCCTTCCCACCCCCACCCCCGTGACCCAATGGCACATACATGTTGTAGAATAAGTTATGGGGTCTTTATGTATTGTTTTGTGTTTTTACAAAACTTGAACTTGCAGGCAAGCCTTGGTTGGGTATTTGACTAATCCAGAATGCTTCTCTTTAGGGAACAAGAATGTTTTTAATGGCATAACAAAGGCAAGACTCTGCCTTAATTTTTGAAAAGCTGCTAACTACATGAACACAAATTGTATTTTTGTTGTTGTGTAGTTTTTCTTTCGTGTAATTTAAAAGTCAGTGTTGAACTTTGTTGAAAGCTCATGATATGTGCTTCAAAGTGGCAAGCGTTTGCCAAGAGCTGCCAAAATGAGAGCCTGATTTTTTTGAGGCCAGTAATTTGTTTGCTAGAATTGATTTTCTCTCTCTCTCTTCCTCTCTCTCTCTCTCTCTCTCTTTGGTTACATAAGGGCATTATGTAACACTAGCCAAATGGTAGCCTCTGGGTTTGTTTGTTTTGTTTTGTTTTTTTTCTTCCATGATGTTAATGGGTTATCTCAAATTTTAAGTTAGACTACCTAAAATAAATACCAAAGATAATGCACATTTTTGCACAGTGGAGCTTATACTAAAAGGGATAAAAAGCCCCGTGGCTGCCTTGAAATCAAGAGACAGTAACTTTGAACCTCAGCAAGACCTTGAACTGCCCTTTCCTTTTTCACCTTATTCAGAAAATAGAACATCATACACACAGAGTCTAGTAAGTGTAGTGCTTTTTCAGTTTTGTTCTTTCATGCAACTTGTGTATGATAGGAGAAAGAAGAAAGGGGAAGTAAAATTCACACATACACAATATTAAATATCTTTTCTTTCCTGCGAGGTAGGGCTGGCTAGGCTAATGCATAAGGTGCGAGATGGCGACGTGCTCTTAGATTTTTCTGGGTTTCCCCTGTTTGCACATTCCAAAATGTATTCCTAGGTTGGAGTTCGTTGGCATCCTCAAGGCTGAGCCATCCAACATGAAAGATAAATAAGGTTAAACCCTTGTGGCTGAATTCGTTGCCCCAACTGTCAGGACACTTCCAGCTTGACTTTGCCTTTGAGAAGATGCCACAGCTGGCCTCTAGGCTGGTTCTTCCGATCGGTCTGTGTGGAGCAAGTCCCCTGGTGTCTGGGAAGCTGCAGATGCCAAAGGGGGAGCCAGCGAGATGTGGACCAGCCACTTCTGATGTAGTACATCAGCTCAAGTATTCAGGAGGGAGAGGAGAGTTACCTTCTTTTTTAGTGGTAGAGGGTGAGGGTAGGAATGAAAATATCGCAGTGTTTTAGGGTCAACAAGAGCCATAGAAAATATGAGGCGGCCACAAGTAGAGGAGATAATGAACTACCAGGTTTACTTCTCCTTTATATATGCACACCTGGGGTTGGATCTGAGCTGATCCTTCTAGCCTGTGGATCCTGAGAGCAGGTTACTAAGGACACATTGTTTTCGAGAAGTCTCTCCTGCCTGGCTGATCGAAACTCTTATTTTTTCCCTCTTGCTCTAACTCAATAATGGAACTCTTTTTTTTGGCTTAAAGTTCCTTATGTGTGAATTCTGGGGGGGGAGGGGGGGTGCTGACTTTTCTTTTTAATTGGAGTCTCAAAATCAACTCTCTTACGGTATTATATCCCTGTATGCCATTAAAAAACAGCTTGTTCTGGAATCCTGTATTTTGTAAATTGATGTGTGTGATAGTCTCTGGTTCTTGAACAGCCATCTCTGAAAGCCGTGCCTGCAATAATATGACAGATTCTGCTGTTCTCAGCCTTCAAAGTCGATGGGTTTGAAAACTGGTGTTCTTTTCACCGAAACCAAGACAGAGATGTCAAGCAAGTGGATGCTATTTTAAATCCAAATGTAAAGGCAGGTTTGGAAAGTTGTTTAGAGAGTTGGAGGAATTGGGGTTGATGGGACAAAAGGATTGACAGAAGAGGGAACAATTTGGCTGTTGACAGTGAGTGAATACTGAGGGCTCCAGCTGCTGCTATTTCGATATGTTGCAAAGGAAAATAATCAAACCAAAGAGTATTCGGTGATATGTAAATGAAAGGAAGATGCGATGGAGAATGGGGGTGACCACTGAGAAGGTTCCTCCCAAACACACAGTGCTGCCACTTAAAAACACTTGAGATATTTGAAAGGGGGTGGGTCTGGGGGCAAGGATGAGGGAGGGAAATCTTTCAACTTCTTTCTGAAAAAAGGAAAAAAAATCTAACATTTCTGGTGCACAGGTTTGTTTTTGTTTTTGGTTTGTTTTTTTTTTTTCCTTTTCCAAGAAAATTTTGCAGAAGCTATGTTTTTAAAGTGTACATTTTATAAAGTTTATCAGATATTTTCATATTTAAAGCCAAATGTAAATAGACGTCTGTAAAGGGAAAAAAAATTGCCATAGAAAGTATAATTTCCGTAATTTCTGAGAGCGAGTACCTATATGCTACCGGTTAGCATGGTTTTAGCAAATATTTACCAGCCTTATAAGGTTCGTGTTACTATGTTCTGTTATTTATTTCAGCATGGACTGTTCATTTGAAAGCTTTTTCTAGTTATTAGTATTTTTAACAATTACAAGCTTTAAATGGCAATTTTTTTTTTTTTTTTTTTTTTTTTTTTTTGTCAAGAGCCAAGACGCAGGTAATGCACAACATGTCTTGTTGCATTTTACCTTCAAAACATTTGTCCTTATTGACTGGGTCTCCTTTCCGTAATTAGCGCACATATGTCATTAGAATGAAGACAGAGGAGATTCGCCGTGAATATCTGGGGTCTGTTCCCAGCTAGGTGTTGCTTCTCTATTGCAAGCAAACCCCCGTTGAATTTACTTAGGAATTGCTCCCTTTTAAAGAATTTTTGCTCGTGTCTGGATGGGCATTATATTTTTGGGAGGAGGCATAGATTCCTGGCTATCCTATTTTTTAAATAAAAGATAGACAAAGTGAATTCTATTTTGACTATTGAGAATAGAATAGTTTTCTATCCCTCTAAGAAGTATACTTGAATCAGACATTGTAAGGATGTCGCTATAGCACTGTAGCCATTTCCAAATTCCCGGAGAAAGTCTGTTTTACCTTAAAAAACACACACACACACACCTATTAATGCGTTATTTTTTTTCTCCTCATTTCCTTTCTTCCCTATAAACTTCCATCCCAAACCTTGATGTCTGTTTGATGCACTCCGTCCCCCCAAATCATGTTACCCTCGCAAATAACAAATGTCAGTTCATGTTTTATAATAAGCCGCTCAGTAAGGGCAAGAAGCTTTTTCTGAGAAGCAGAGTGAGTTCTTTTTCACTCTGGGTCTAATAAATGTTAAGGTGAAAAATAAAAGTGTTCTATAGGCACCTCCCAACTCCTGACTAGAATCTCTTTTTCTAGTTCTGTTGGGTTTCAGCTCTGGGCTCTGGCGAGTTGAACAATCCCGGCCTTTGACAATCGTGATCACTATTATTTTCCCATTTGCCGTCTTTTTGTATCTAAAAGTCTTCCTATTGTACTGCACAAACCATGGATTGTACATATTTTTATATATTATGTCTTATTTTATTATTTCTAAATAAAAAATTAAAAATTGAGGACAAATTCGTGCAAGAGTCTGTGGGCTTCCTGTGTGATTGCTGTAGAATTGCTGAGATCGGAAGCAAATGTTTCCAAACAATAGGACATAAATCCTGACCTTTGGGAAGAATAGAGCCATAGAAATTGCCCAAACAGGGAGGTGTGGTGGAGTGGCAGATGAACTTAATCCAAGTTAGAGGAAGTCAAGCTCATATTTTGTTTTTGGACAGAATGTCGTAGGTAGAGAGAGGATGGAAAACAAAGGAGCAGATAAAACTGACAAATTCATACGCTTTAGCTTTTGACTCTCTGTTTAATGATGATAGTTACCCTTTATGGAGCCTGAACCATGTGTAGGGTTCTGCCTTCTACATTATCTCACTGTCCGCCCCCCCACCCAACCCTGGCCGATTAGGATACTATTATTCCTGTGTTATAAATCAGGAGTTGGTAAAATTGTTCTGTAGAAAGCCAGACGGTAAATATTTTGGGCCTTGCAGAACAGAGAATCTGTGTCAACAATGCAACTCGGCTCTTGTAGCCCAAAAGCAATCACAGATAATATGAAAATAAATGATGTGTTTCAATAAAACTTGACTAATGACTGGTGGGCCAGATTTGGCCCATGGCCTGTAATTTACCAACCTTGGTTATAGAGGAAACTGAGGCTGGATTTAAAGCTAATGAATTGCTGAGATGGTATTTGAATTCAGGTTTTAACCGCCTCCCAACTCAGTTTAATCCACTAACCTATATACTGTTTCAGGACACAAAGTTGCCAGGGATAGGCAGTCTCAGAGAAAATGCCACTTCTTCCAACAGATTTGGAATAACTTAACCGTTTCTTCATGATTGGAAATACTGAGGAAATCCGCAGTCTGAAATACGGGTTGCTCCTTAATATTTTTTCTTTAACAAATACAGGGCACTTACCATGTTTCAAGCATGGTTCTAGATTCTTTGTAAGTATGAAATAATTTAATCCTTACAGCAACTCTATAGAGTAGGCAGTGGTATTATCCTCATTTAAGAAACGAGGAACCAGGCCCAGGGAGGTTGAGTGCCTTGTTCAAGCACACACAGCAAGTAGGTATTAGAGCTGAGATGTAAACTGAGGCCATTGAGCACTGGGCTGTGTGCTTTTTTTTTTTTTTTTTTTTTTTTTTTTTTGGTCTTTGTTTGATCACTACTCTATGCTTTTCCATTTGGAGGCATTCTT